TATACAAAAAAAGAAAAGAGCTAGAGGATTATATAGTAGGGTTTAGAAAGTAAAGGATAAAAAAAAGAAAAGCTATTTACATAGTATAACTAGCCTATTCTAATGCACAGCATTACTAGGGCAAGTTCTAATAAATAAGATAGAGTATAAGCAAAACATAATTAGATAGACTTATATAAATAGAAAAAAAGTAACATGTATAAAAGGTAACTTTTTAGATAAAAAAAAGTTACTAGTGTCTATACATAGTAGTAGTGTTATAGTTTAGATACTAGCTATTACGCATAAGTAGAATTACATATCTATGTTACATAATGCTTATGTGTAAACCTTTGTGCGTAAATATTTAAATTTTCTCTTTTTCTTCTATATAAAAGAAAGACAAGAGCAATAGAACTAAAAACATGTTGCCCTTACTCTACCTACTTTGTACGCTGTGCACACTGTACACTACTCTTACTCTTACTACTTAAGTGCTTATACTATAAGCAGCTAGCTAACAGAGCCTATTTAACAAGAACTTATATTTTAGCTAGCTAGTAGTAAACTTAGCTAAATGTTTATTAATCTAATAATAAGCACTATCTTCTATACATATAGTAGTAGGATTGCGCATTAGGCTAAGACTAATAGACAAATAGTAGAGTACACTTATAATATATGCAGCTAGGCATAGTTTTTTAGTATTAATTAAATTAAACTTAAAAAATATAAAAAGCTAGAAAGTAGGTATAATTAAAGTATAAGATATAGTAAATAGCAAAAAAGTTAACTAAAGTTAAAAGTTTAAATAAATAAAAAGAAATAAAGGTGTAAAAGTTAAAGTAAACTAATTAATATTTAAGTAGATAAAAGAAGAAGTAAGTGTAAATGTTAGAAAAATATAACTAATTAAAACAAAATTAAACACATTTAGATGTAAAAAAGTAGGAGACATAGTTTATATTTATTAGTAATAAGAAGATTATTCTTTATAAGCGTTATACTATACTTTTTATGTTAGTAGGTTAGAATTAATTTTCTAAAAAGCGTGTTATTTCTTTTAAAATAATTTAGTAATAATAAAAAAATTAATATAAACAAATAAATCTTTTATACTGCTAATAATGTTTATAAAATACTACGACAGTTCATAAATGATCTGTAAAAGCAAAGCTTGCTTAGAGAAATAGTTAGTACATTAAGGTAGGTTATTTAGGTTAAAGAATAGTTATAGCATAATGCTTAGCAAATTAGTATTAGACAGGTAATAGACATATAATAATAATATTTAACTATAGCATGTAACTAATTACAGCCTGTAACTAAGCGTAGCTAATACTAATCTCTAACACACTAATATAGCTAATGCTAATTCTTAACACACTAATATAGCTAATGCTAATCCCTAACACACTAATATAGCTAAAAAAGTAGAATAAACATAACTAACTATAATTTAAATATGTTTTATATAACATATACTAAAGTAAACTACTTGTAAATTAATATAAAAATGTAGGTATATTAAGTATACATTATTTTAAAAAAGAATA